TAACCCGCTGCGCCACCAGGGAGGGCCAAGTTTGGCTCTTTTTTGCTCCCAGAGTGGGTCCCGGGGAAACGGCAGGGACAGAAGCATTAGCAAGAATTCCTGTCTGCCTGCCAGGCTCTGCGTCTGCGTCGGTAAAGCAGGCTGAATCTTGAGGTAGAGGAGCTGGTTAGGAGCTGGCAGCTGGTTAGGAATCAAATGTGTGGCATAACCACACATCAATTGCTGAGCTGGTTTTTATTGAAATGTGAGGTTTGAAGTAAGACATAAATAACATCCTGTTGTGGGGTGCTACTCTCTTTGCACAGCTGGTTGGTTAGGGAGTTTGGTGAAAGCCTTGCCTATTGGCAGCGGCCGTGGCATTTTCTTTCTGCCACTGCACACTTCGCCTGCCCGAGAGTCCACCAAGCCATGGATGCAGTGACTGTGTATCACGGCAACATCAGCCGGGAGACAGGCGAGAAGCTACTGCTCTCCAACGGTCTGGATGGAAGCTATTTGCTGAGGGACAGCGAGAGCATCCCAGGCGTGTACTGCCTCTGTGTGCTGTGAGTATGTCCTAGCGGTGGTGGGCAGTGGTGGAGGGCCAGGCCATGGGAGTCAGCCCCAAGGACTGGAGGTGGCAGGGGTGGGGTGCAGGTGGCATGAGCTCCCCAGGGCCTTCCCATTGTCCACTTATAGGCCCCAAGGCCTTCCTCACATGTATCTCAGGCCCTGGTGGACCATGGAGCATCCCTTGGGCCTTCTGCTCTCACAGGCCCTCACCAAAGCCTTTGTGGGAACAGCTGCAGAGAATGCAGCCTACAATTTACCTTTGCTTGGAGAATGACCCAGCTTCCCTTCTCCTGTTTTGTCCTGTAGTGGAAGCCAATGAGGCACGGGACTGATCATATTGTGCTACCAGCTTCTGAGCCAATGTGGTCTTTTAAGCACTCCTCTCTCATTTTACACATCTGGCTTAACCAGACAGTCCAGCTGAAGGCTTCCTTCCAGCTCTCTTGAAATGCGTTTGGAAGTGTCCTCCCAAAGGAAGACCATCAAATTTAGGGAGAAGAAGACTAAAGAGACTGAATCCATTAAAGAATGAGATGCCAGTTAGGTGTGGATGCTGAAGGGGGAATGTTAGTGACTAAAATTGCCTCCCTGAATTGGCTCTTAACCTTCTTTTAGAGAAGTCGGGATATTTGTGTGTGTGGGGGGGGGCAGGATTTTTCACAATTTTTCCTGATAAAAATTAAGACTGATGCTATTGTTTAAGGGTCTAGAGGAAAAGCACCCTAGTTATGACTCAGCTTTGCCCTTTCCCCAAGGCGTGGTGGTGGACTCCCAATTTTAATCGGTTGCACCCTTGTCTTTGCTCCAGGGCTTCAGAGCCAGGAGCATCTCACACCTGTTCCTATGTGAGTCCAATCGAGGCTTGTGCCCTCGGCAAGTTAACTTCTTACTCTCAGTTTTCTTGGCCATAAAGTGGGTAGAATACTGCTACTTATTTCGCAGGATTGTAAGGCTAAAATGCCACAATGCAGGCAAACATTTTAGCCCTGGGGCTGGTACATAGTAAATGTAAGTGAGTGCTATTATTCTATCTCCCTTTGTCTGCTGATTTCTTTGAGTACATTCTTGGGAAAGACCTAGCACACTTACTTCTTGTCAGCAGGATAAAAACACCAACGTAGTAGGTTCTAGACGAAAACAGCATGGGGAAAATGCTTGGTAGTAATTTCGGTACCTGATGATACACTGCAATGTTTTGAAGTGCCTTCTGGGTCAGCGAACAGAGTCTTCGGAGGCCGCTGTTAGACAATTTTCATTTCTTTCTGCTGTTTTAATGGTCAAGTCATGTCTGTGGCAACTCTTCAAGGGAAATATGTGGAGGCTGTAGACTCTTGCACTTAGATCTTCATCTTGCTTATATTTTTGTTTTTCCCAAGTACAAACTGGGGAAGGTCAATGGTGGCCAACTCAGACAATTACAAGAGAAGGTAGAGTAGTGAGTGGGCAAGTAAAGGGTGCTCCTGTAGGCAGGTTGACACAGGTGGGAAAGGGTCCCTTCCCTCAGAGCTAAGAAAAGAAGTGACTGAAGAAGCCAGGGCAAGGGAGGACACACACAGCCGTGTGTGCCAAGTGTCTGTTGTCTGTCAGGCTTGCTGAGCTGGCTCCGCATTTAAAGTCTGGTCTTCGCACTTATTGTTCCTGCCTGTCCCCTCAGAGAGGACTCCCTATCTAAAATAAGTGCCTTCTCTCTGTCTCTGAATCACTCAATATTTTTCTTCAAGGTGCTTTCATCTAGCTGACAAGCGCTGTTTACTTCTGGAGCGCTAGGGCCCCCTGTAAGAGGTAACCCAGCAAGGCTGTTGTCTCCTGTACCAATAGCACAGCCTGGCACAAAGAAGACACTCAATGAATATTTTTAATTAATAAATGAACAGGCAAGGCAAACAGTTCCTTATTGTAAAGAACTCTGGACTGCCCTTGGGAGGCCAGGTGGCCGTGGGAAGCTGCTCAACTTCTCTGGGTCTTGGTGTGCGTTTTATGTAAAAGGAATCATAACATGGGTCTGACATTCTGCATATGATTGCTGCTAGTAAAATATGCAAAACAGGAGGGTAACTTTGGCTTTTTGCCCTTTAGGCCAGGACCATGTAAGGAATTGATGGAGGTAGGTGGGAAATCAGTTTTTATGACTCTTGAGTTCTTCACACAGACCTCTTTGTGAAGCAGCAGAGAATAGGCACATTGAGAGCCCATGACCATGTCTTGATGGGCACACTGTGGCCCCCCAGTCTTAGAGGGTGATTACCAGACTGTGCTGCAGAGGGAAGACACAGGATCCCTTGCATTTTATGACAGTTTCTTAAACTTTTGAGCCAAGGATCCCTTCTGACAAACATAAACATTCCATCCCTCTTTTTAGTACTGCACTGTAGGAATAACTCAAGTTATATTTAGAAATAAGCCATGGACTCATTTTAAAGCTAAATGTGTAGGCTTGTGATATGCGATACAAATAACAGTGTAAATAGTGACTGGTGAGCAATACGCTGCACCTAATCAACAAGCTTTCACAGTAGGGTTCACACAGAATAGTTTCTTGCTCTGCCTTTTACTTGATTCCCATTATCTAAGGAGGTGCAGTTGAGCTTTATTGTAGTTTCCATATTTTACTGTGGAAATAACCCTTCACATGCCTCTGAACCATACTTCACACTCTACTTTCAGACTCTGCTTGTTCCTTTCCCCAGTTCTGAACCTCTAGTCATGGCTTTTAGATAAGGCCTTTCCTCTGTTCAGTTTTGGGAAATTGAATCTATAAAGTACTAGAGAAGTATTCCATTTATAGGATTCCTTCCAATTATTTTCAATAAGGAAATCTGGATTTTTTTCTAATAATTTAATTTTATAATCTTGTCCTTATTACTCATAAATTGGTGATAAGTGCTAATATTTATTCAGAGTATCAAATTATAGAACACTTGAAAATGTAGATAATACCAATGAGGGGAAAGTCAAAAGTAGTTTTAGAACCTAAAGGCAGATATTATTGAAAATTAAGAGGGTTTTCGCCTCTACTTTTATAGACTGCGTTGTAAACACACGTGCACTCTTAAAATGTGCTGCATTTTTTCATTTAACATGAAAAAGAAAACCCACTCATATATAACATTCTTCCAGTTAATTTAAAAACATTATTTTTAATGGTTGTGTGATGGTTCAGCAAGTGAATGTACCTTTTTTTTTTTTTTAACTAGTCATCTATTTGTAGACATTTGAATTATCCCACTTTGGGGCCACTATAAGTTCCATCATTATCATATTCTGACCCATAAATATTTCCTTGTATTTATAATTATTTTCTTGTAATGAATTTAATGATGTGCAGTTTCTAGGGCAGAAAGCATGAACAGTTTAGGATTAGTAGTGTACACATGATCGCCAAATATATTTTCCTAAATGGTTGTTCCAGTTTCTATCTGTGCTAACCTGTAGTATATGAGTGTCCATTTCACTGTACCCTCCTTAGAAATGTATTTTTGTATTTAAAAGTTCTGGGTTTTGTTTGATTGGGAAGCTTTTGTATTTCCTTATTTCTGAATTGGCTCTTTGGGTACTTTGCTCTTTCAGCCATTTGGATCTTACTGATCACATTGTGTGTTTCCACATGGTAATACTTAATTACTCTAAAGTGTTTTTTCTCAGCTTGCTGCACAAAAATTAGCATTTTTAGCAGTCCACTCTATGATTCATATTTTGTGTATTTGATCTTTACTTCTCAGCTTAGAAAGTTCTTTAACTCTTTACTTCTATTTGGAATTTTACTTTGATGTGCAGAGAGGATCTAATTGGATTGTATTTTGAAGTAGTTAACAATTATCCTAAATAATTTATTAATAGAACTTCCATTTCCCATCAATATATTAGCCTACTCCACTCATATTAAATTCTTACATATAATATTTACAGTTTCATAACCTATTTGATTCAAATAGGTTGATCTAGTTATACTTGTACTACTAAAGTCTGATAGTATTTTCATACATTTATAAGAAGAACTTGTTATTATTACCAGATGGTTCTTTGAGGTAAAATCTAGAGTAATTTTGTTAAATTAAAAAAATATCCCATTAGGATTACATTAAACTCATTAATAAACTAGGAGGAATTGTCCTCTATAAAGAATATAGTCTTTCCCATGCAAAACCTAATACTTCTTCCCATTTGTCTTTATCTTTTTTGTAGTCTTCCTGCCGTGGGTCTTATTTTTGTTATGTTTATTTCTAGTTATTGTGTGGGCAAATGTGTGTTATTGTGTGTCTAAACGTGTATGTTGATTTTTGGGGGGCTTCAGTTGTAAATGGTGTCTTTTCCCTGCATCTTTTCTGTTGCACAGGAAAGTTACTGACTTAATTTTCTTGTTTTCATCCACTCTACTAAATGTTCTCATTGGTGTAAATAATTTTTATTTTATCTTGTTCCATTTAGTTTTATAGGTATGTCAAGTTTCTTCTCACTAATGCATATGTATGAAGGCTACACATTTCTTTCCTTCTCTCCCTCAATGTAGACCACTGTTGGGAAAGTCCTAAATGCCTACTGGGATAGTTTGAAGGTGATAAGATAAAAACTAATTTAAAATATTTAATATAATTGGTTTGGAGAAATAGTTTATTTCTATAATTAGCATCTTTCTGTCCATATTGGACTTTGCTTACTACTTATCTGATAGAAGATTAGAAAGAAGAAATGGTATTATGTTCTGTAGCCTCAAGGACACATAATAAAATCATTTGACATATGTCTTTAGATAAAAGGATAATTATCTTTTTGTCCTTTAAGATTTAAAGGATGACTGGGAATAAAGTGTCTATCAAACGATTGAATTGGAGAAATGGGGGAAAGAGCAGTAATAAAAAAATGTTCTAGCCTCACAGTTGTAATAAGAGGGGACATGTGGCAAAAATTAAAAAAAAGAAAAATTATAACTTAGAATTATTTTTTTTTAGTACATTTGGATATGTGTGTTGGTGCTGCATTCACCGTCATGATAACT